AGTTATTTTTTAATTTTTATTTGATTATATTGTTTTATTGTTATTTATTTGCTGATTAATTTTTTATAATTATTTACATATTTATTATTATAAATGCATATTTTTTCCAACGTCTCAGAAAGTTCCCAAAAACTCACGAAACTTCAAAGAAGGTATCCAATAAACAACCAAAGCGCAACAGTTAAATCCACGCAGACACGCAAATAAGCACGAAAGACGCGTATATGCAAGGTGACACACGAATACAACGAGCCAATTACACAGCCACATACACATACACAGAATTGGGCAAAATGCCTCACTTTCGATTTTCCAAGAATTAACAACATTTACTCCGCCGAAACTTACTTGCAACACTTGCGGAAAAGTTACACTTCTTTGTTTGTAAACTTATGCCTATGTACATATGTATGTACATATATGCTGGATGGCATTATATACCATGTTATGCGCCGCACAATTTCACATCCTTTGAAGGTTTATTGTTTAATTTTTACTTTGAATTTTTTACGCGACATTTTTTTATTTTTCAAAATTTAACGTTCCACACGACGACGCACACAATGGCACAAAAGCACAAATGTAAGTATATAATGTAGTATATGGTAAATAATATCACTAGTCGGACGCACAAAACTCGACGCCACGCGACGCTCGTCTGTTCTGCCCGACGTCCAAAGTACTTATCCGCCGTTGCAACCGAACATTACATGGCTGTTGGCATTTCGACCAGTTCCAAATCGAGCGATGCGCCGCTCCATCGCCTCCGAGCAACAAAGTACTACGGTAGAGACGCTATCATTTCAGTGCAACTGTTTGGGGCGCGTTCTCATTGAGCCGAGTTAATTATCCTCTGCACACACTCTAAACTCTTGAGTGCGCTCTTACGCTCCTGTTCTTGAGTGGAACTCAAGTGAATTGAGCGAGTTTTGTTTCGTGCTGTGACTCTTCGAAAGCTACGATAGTTTAGCGTTTGTGTGTATGTGTGGAGATATGACTGCTTTGGTGATTGCATTTGTGATAAGAGCTGAGATAAGCCATAGCAGGACACAAGGCAAGTTGAGCGCAGGGTTGTTGTGCGGAAATTATAGTTCGTATTTAACAATGACTCGTAATATGTGCGATATGATAAGCATTTTCAAATATATTTACTCCGCAATGAAACTTCCTGTAAGTGGGTGTAATATAAATTGCTAAAAGCTGGTTTAAAAAGAACCACTCATGAAAACACCAATTTAAGGCAAAAAAAATAACTAGTTCGAAAAGCGCAAGTTGTGTTTCAATTAGAACAACCCGTGTAATCAAAATTTCGATTGGGTCAAGATTTTGATTTAGTACAAAGCCTTCAAAGACCGTCCAGAGGTCGTTGAAGACATGCCTCGTTCTGAACAACCTTCGACCCCTTCAATTAATGAAAATATTAAAAAGTGAAAGATATGGTGGTCCTCGTGGTGGAATATCGTCAGGCTAAACGCGTTCTTGCTCGATTAGTCCTGATAAAGTGAATTTTTTCAAAAATAGTTCCCTAAACAGGTCTCTTTAGACATGCTTGATCGTGCGAACTCCGATCCCACATTCATGGAGAGCGTTATAACTAGATCTGAGACATCGTTTTATGAGTTTTACATGCAAGCAAGTCAATAATTATCGGAAAGGATGGATAAAACGAGCCGAAACCAGAAAAAACTCCCCAAAAGCCGCTCAAAAATCAAGGTGATGCTCACTGCTGTTTTTTGTTGTTTGTGATTTGGTGCATCATGAATTTGTTCCGGTGGGACAGACGGTCAATAAGGACTTCTATTTGGCCGTATTGAGGCGTTTGGATTCCAGTTCCTGGATTTTACTTGACGATAATGCACCATCGCATCGAGCCGCGATTGTGACCGAATTCAAAGCCCAAAACGCAATGAATACCGTCGATCTACCGTAGACACCAGATCGCTGAAAGAACTGGAGGTCATCCCAAAAGTTCTTATGAAAAATGTTTCGAGAATTGGAAAATTACATCTGCTGGGAATTACTTCGAAGTCGACAAAATAAATATCGATGAATAATTGAATATTTTGCATTTGATTTACAATTCCCGGACACTTTTTAGAAGGGAAGGAAGATAAATAGGTCGAAAATTTAATTTCTGATGGAAAACAAATTCGAAGAATATATGTGAACTTCTTGATCCTTACGTGTAGAAAGTTTCTCGAGATATTCAAAGAACAAGGTTACCAAGGATGTCAAATAATTCTATTATAATAACGATTTTTGTGAAACAGACCTCCAAAAAACGTTTTTCAGTTAGGTTAAAAATGCTTGGACAGTTCTGAGTCGTGCGTATTTATCTAGGTGCGGCTATGTTTTGCCATTCCTTTTCGGGCTGCCCTCGTATATACAGGGTTTTTTCGGAAAGTAATAGGACTGATGTTTTTTTTTTTTTTTTTTTTTTTTTTTTTTTTTTTTTTTTTTTTTTTTTTTTTTTTTTTTTTTTTTTTTTTTTTTTTTTTTTGCCGCGAATGTATTTCGGAGCGTACTGACTGGATTCGGTAGAGGGCGTTCCTAGCTAACGAACGAACGGCTTGTCAGTTTTCTCCGAGCACCTGGAGAGTCAGGACAATTCTGAAAATTCATTATTTTTCACGGCAAAAATGTCTAACCATTACTGGTCCTATGGGGTTAAATCTCGGAATTGACTTTCGCATAAGCTATTATGTTAATATTATACATATAAAAATTAAATCAGATAAAAAATAACTAAACATAAAACTAAAGTTCCTACAGTGGGAAGAAAACCAATTACAGCGTGACAAGCTGAGTCTGTTTAGCCATGACCGTCTGTATGTATATACGAGAACTAGGCCCTTAGTTTTTGAGATACGGATCTTAAATTTCGTACACGCCGAAGCTGCTCGTTTATCGATTACTAGAGCATACATATATCTACCATACAAACTGATCGATCAGAATCAAGTCCTTGTATGGACAACTTTTTAATTCGACACTAAATTGGGCAGAGAATATTATCAGATCGGATCACTATAGTATATAGCATTAAAAGAGAACTTTCAGAATCATATTAAAGATATTTTTATGCTACAAAGATACACCTGTGAAGACTTCGGTGCAGCCAAACACTTCAAAGTTCACAAATAAGAGGTAAACAATCCTACTTTATTCTTCAAAATGTTGCGAGTGTAGAAAAAAAGAGAAGAAGGAACAAAAAAAAAAAAGTACAAAATGAAATCAATTACATTCGACATGCCAAAAATAAACAGGAAATGATCTCGTTTGTGCCGTTGCAGTGAGGGCTATTCGCACAGCCGTCGGTATCTACAAGTTAGAGGCAGTTTCTGCGGTCACTGAAAAAAGCAAAAACAAAAATAAGCACAAATTGAACTGTCATGCGACAATGACACTTTTATTAATGTAAAGCGCTAATTGTTCGTTAGACAATAGAATTGCTTCACGTGATGCAGCAGAACACAAGTGACTAATAACCCACTTTAACACAACAACAAAGAGATCTGAAACCACAGCGAACAGTGCGAACGTGTCGCGAAGCAATTAGTGCATTAATGATTTTCTTGTGAGGAGCCCGGGAACATCGAAAGTAATTTGAATAGGTTGTGATATAAAAAATCTTAAAAAAGCAAATATTTTATTTTTACTGGTTTCTACATGTTATGTCTTTTTTAGTAAATAAAATAAGCTTCCTGTAAATGAACTGAGTTATAATATTCTTTTTTTGTCTTTTAATCCACTTCTTCGGTGAAGAACATTTCCAGTAGCGAAGGTTTCGCGCATTGTTCGCCATCCAAGCGAGCCGGCGACTTCCAGCGCAGCAATGTTGGTATAACCGAAATGGGGGCGACAGTGTCCTTGCGAAAGGGATTTTGCATGTCCTTCCAACTAGAAAAAGAATTATTCAAAACTTTTATATATTAACATAATCCATAAGTAAAAAATACATCATTCAACTTACAATGCGCGCGGTCCAACATCAACAACAACAAACACTGAGTTCTTATCCGCGTGTTCATTGAGAGCGGAGAGCACAAATGGTTCAGCTGGGTAAATAGGGAATTATAATAATGATTAGCAATAAAACCACATTCAAATATCTATAAGTCAAGCTACAACATATTCCCAAACAACGCACCTTCATTGCAGTCAGGACACCAGCTCTTGCCTGTTTCATCCTTCTCGCCGGTGAAGTACACATTCACTTGGCTGCTACCATCTTGAGTCAACTTATCCATAGTTTTGCGGAATGCCTCGTAACCACTTACTTTCAGTATCTCCATCTCAGCTTCCGAATCCTTCGCTTTGCTCTGCGTACTGATCAATAACCAAAAGCTGTTAAATATGCTAAGGTAAAAGTTGTTCTTTTCTTTATCACCTTGTAGAATCCAACGTTATCAGTTGTATAATCTATTACTAGACGTTAAGATAAAGCGATAGCCTTTACTATTGATTACAGTTGTGAACCGGCAAACATAAATTTGTTTTTCTACTTTCATGGTCTAAAATCAGCTGCTTGATTGGAAATGAACTGTCATAGTTTGAAAGTGGTGCTGCCAGATGTGTCGGCGAGTGCCAGATTATCCAGAATGTGAACGCCTCTTACATACAATATTTTATTCACTTATAACAAACACTAAAAATCATTCGTCCTTAACTAAAATGGGGGAAGTAGTTTACGCAAGAGTATATATCCAATCCTTAAGTCTCCACCGCTTGAATAAGGCAGAACGAAATCATCCAGGTAGATGTCTGTTTGACTCCAAGGACGCCTTTCACTGTGAGGCAGTCAATGAAGGTGTTAATTGTGATTGCAATAGTTTCTTTGTTTCGATTACGTTTGCTCCAAATTGAAACTCCAATTAAAATGTTTCTCCATTTGCTCTTTTTCAAGACAGAAGTCTTTTTTCTGTTCAGTTCCACTGTTTTTTCTCCTTTTTTATTAGCGTACACAACGCCAAGTTTACAACAACGCGCCTGTCGTTCTTCCTTTTCGCTGTTCGGCGCTAATTGGAGATTCCAAATGTAGCCAGGTCCTTCTCCACGTGGCTTTTCTAACGGAGTTGAAGTGTTCCTCTTCCTCTGCTTCCTCCTCCATACAATACCATAAATATTTCTCTTGAAAACTCCTAACACGTATTTATCAGCTGTTATCATCCTACATGCATGAAGTTTCCTACAATATCGCTGTGACCAATGTTGTTATTTGTAACGCATATCTAGTTAGGATTGTAATGATCAGATACGTTGTCATTCAGGTCATCCAACGATAGGCCTAGTAAACGTTCTGTTTCGACGAAGTCGGACGATAGGGAGAGGGGTGTCAGATGTGTTGCATGCTGGACATATATTTCATATGTCGGGGTCGATTCTGGATAAATAAGAGTTTAACCTGCTAACGTATCCAGAACGAAAACACTCCAGAAACTAAAGCTTCCAGGCGACCATATTGGTGCGGCGTAGTTAAGTATCGGCCGGCCGATGGCCTTGTATGTCGCCAACAACGTTTCTTTACCTTTTCCCCATGTGCTGCCGGCTAGCGGTTAGAGGATTTTGTTGGGGTCCTGTACTTTGACGATAATTTCGACTACACGCAGGGTGGTTTTTGGTTAAGGCCTTGAACCATCTGGGCGTTATCGAGCTTCCCCTTGGTTTCAGAGTTTTCCAGGTTTCAGTAGTGGGACCACTCTTCCGATATTCCACACATCGGGTGTTTGAAGAACGATCAGCGATAGATTGAGAGTCTTGGTTGTGTAGCTTACTCCCTTTGAGCCTAGGTATTGGAACATCAAGATGTTTATTCTATCAGGCCCAAAAGATTTGGAAGATTTCGCTTTATTGATAAAAATCCTAATCTTTCCATCGGTGGAAGTAAGTGATGCGCAATCTTTTGGCATTTTGTGCAGCCGACGGGTAGCACATCGTTTGGCTTTGTCTGCCGAAAGGTGCAGTGTAAATTGCCAGCTAAAATACCTCGCGCGTTTCTTCGAGTCCGAAGAGATATGGCCTTTAAATAGAATTTCAACTCGTTCATAATATCTCTTCGGGTTAAACAAAGTCTTGACAGTAGTCCCAACTTATGCTGGTGGAGTGGCTTTAGGAGGTCCAGTCGAATCATGAAATAATTCAGTGCAGGAGATAGGGATTCTGGACATCTCTTCAGGTGTCTCGAACGCCAAGTTTATATATATTTTGGATATAGCTTACGGACACTTATCCACAAATTATTATTTATATTAAGGTGACAGCAGCTTCAGTAAACAAATTAAATGAGCTAAAAACAAAATAATGAAATTCCGCGCTCAGACTTGACACACTTTCAGCACAAGTACTGAACTTGAACTTCTTGGCCAAAGTCAGCGGCCAAGAGTTCTGCGGAAACGTGCAGAATAACCTTGCAAAGTTGACAGAAAACCAAAAGCTTGTTGAAAAAATATGCTTAGGTCAACTAAAGGTGCAGAAGTGGCTTGGGAAAAGAAAACAATGAGCCCCGACATATTTAAACAGCAGCCGCCACTATGCAATGAACACTTTCTTGGAGCATTGAACGCAGAAAGGTACAAACGGTGCAGTACAACGACATGCGTAAGTGGATTTTTTTTTCATTTTTGTAAATTTTGTAATGCTTTTGAACGACTTGCAGTATATCTGAGGGGTTTATTTGTGAAAACACTATTTTCAACCACAATTTTATTGGTAATACTAAGCTTAAGACAGGATGTGGAGGCGGGTACTATGAAAATCGCCTATAAGAAACCAATTTTCGGCAAATTAAGTACAACAAAAGAGAGACGCTACAAGTTAAGACCAGATTATATGCGAAAATCAACAAAGAATGCAGCCGCCAGTGTAAGTTCGGGCATGAGCACGAGCGCGAGTTCACTTGTCGGCAGCACAATGTTAACAACCACCAGCAGCACCACGCCCACTTTGCTACATTCATTGGCGCCCACAGATTGGAGCGCATGGGCAACAACAACACCACTGCCAGTGATGGAGAGCAATTTAGGTACTCACTACAACAACAACATGGAGAGTAATAAAGCCGAGGCAGAGGCTGCCATCTATATGCCGAAGCCCTTGCTATATGAAGACGCCGCCACACACAGTCAATATATGGATTTAAATGCAATGAGGCAAAGCGTGTCTGGCGGAGTGGAGACACTGCTGCCACATATAATGCCAGCGGTGAACAACACCATAGAAGCACCACAGCTGCATGACGATGTACAAGGAGTGCACGTAATTGGCGATATGGTGGAAGCGCCGAGTAACACGCAAGTAATGAGCAACACCGAGACAAACGCTGAAGTCGAAGAGCTCTTCCCTCTGCCACAGCCAGAGTTGCTGGTTGCACCACGCGCCCTGGCTGCGCGCAATACGCACGCAAAGGCGCGCAAAACCAGCAAAACACCAGCGACGACGACAACGACAGAGCATAATCGAGCGGTACCATGCACCTGTGGCGTTTTTCTAGCCTCACAAATCAAACGCGGCACCAACGAACAACCCGAGGGCGCACCAGTGATCAGCAACGAGTTGGACCGCACATTCGCTTGCAACGCCGTCGGACAGAAGCAATGCCAGACCAAATGCCTGGAAACTGTAAGTCCTTAAATGCTAATTTTTATTGTTTTATTTGGTGACACTGTGTCGACTAAAACTTCCACCAGATAGTGCAGCATTTGCCCAATTCAGCGAATATACTGTGCGCAACGCTAAATCGGGACTGCCGCAAGGAGCGCGCCTACCTCTTCATCAAGAATTGCCGCAATCAATGGCACAATACGAACTTGTCGGCGGGACGGGAGTATTGCTGTCGCGATGGTCAACCGTACACCTGTCCGATGGTTTGAGGGAATCAAGTCTATATCGAGTGGTTGTGCAAATTTTGAATAAAGAGCGTGGATTTTTCAAATATAACTTACAAATGGTTTTTTATTACGTAAAAAATGAAATAATCAATTGCTTGAGTAATCAAGCCGTGTTCTATGACTAAAATATACGTAGTAGATCTCTACACAAGCAAAATAAAAAAAGGAAAAATAATATTTTAAAATAAATACAATAACAATGCAAAAATGCTGACAATGAAACGGTAGGCCAAATTGACAGTTGTGGATATGTTGTAGGGAGGTTAGGGTGAGGTGAGGTGTCAACGAGTTAATGATGCGAAACATTAAACAAACTGGATGCGCACGTACAGCGCTTTAAAAATGTGTATGTATGTAACTTACTATTTATAAACGAATAGTTTTAAATTTAAAAATTAACTTAAATTTGCCCAAATTGCAGATAACTAAGAAATATAATATTTATATATGTATATATACTATATGTATGTTTAACTATATGTATATATGTGTTTTGTTTAACTAAAGGATTATTATAGTTTAAATAGTTATTGTTGTTGTTGTTTCCCTATACAAAATGACACATACTTTAGGCAAGCGCAGGCTTTCCTTACTATTAACAATTCCTTTTGGCTAATATTAATACAATTTCGGTATAAATACACACGTAACCTAGGAAATAACAACTTTAATTTTCATATTTATTAACTAGTAAATGCATGTGGAACGCTTTAGCCGCGCGTAAGTATGCTTTTATCGTCTCGTGACGAACAATGTTTTGAATGCGTTTGATTAAAATTAAATGACATTCGCCTTTGCTCGCCTAAAATATGCGCACTTTTGTAATAAATTTAGTCTTTTGCATTTAACTTTTTTTTTTTTTTTTGACACATTTTTCACTCGAAGAATTTCTTCTTGGCTGAAGGCAAATCGAAGGATATCGTGGATAATCTGAAAGCACAGAAGAATATTTGAGAACACGAAAGAGATCAGTTTCAGCTTTGTGTCGCATATTATTTTAAACTAAAAATCATGTTTTATGCGCATACATATGTACATACAGCGGTGATTTCATGCTGGCACTTGTAACTTAGTATGTGAAAAGGTGGAAATGATTAAGTGAATGCATATAAACCAAAAAATAAATAAAAAATTTGTTAAAATTTAAAATTTGTGAAAATTAAAATTTATGAGAAATAAAAATTTGTGAAAATTAATATTTTCATAAAATTAAAAATTTGTGAAAATTTTAAATTCGTGAAAATAAGAATTTGTAAAAATTATAAATTTGTGAGAATTAAAAATTTGTGAAAATTAAAATTTATGAGAAATAAAAATTTGTGAAAATTAATATTTTCATAAAATTAAAAATTTGTGAAAATTTTAAATTCGTGAAAATAAGAATTTGTAAAAATTATAAATTTGTGAGAATTAAAAATTTGTGAAAATTAAAAATTTGTTAGAATTAAAAATTTGTGAAATTAAAAATTTGCGAAAATGAAAAGCTCATTAACATGAAAGAAACATTTAAAATGCATTTACACTACAAGCAGGCAAATAAAAAAAGCAATAATTAATGGTTCGTGCGTTGCTCGGAAATTATGTACATATATGGAAATTTGTTTGTTATTGGAGACAGCGATAGAGGGGTTTACAAGTGAGTTTAGAAATTTTTTGTTGTTATACTTCATAATTTTTCTCGAAAAATAAGATATTTTTTTTATTAGGGCAAATTTCTGATTTCTAGGAGCAAAAAAAAATTTTTATTTTATAAAAAACCCTTTATAAAAAAATATTTAAACAAATTTATAAAATAAAAAAATATTTTAAAAATTTATAAAAAAAAAATTTAAAAATTTATAAAATAAAAATATATAACCAAAAAATACGACGAATGCATTTTGATCGATCAGTTTATTTTTCTGCTATTCCTGTAGTCTTTCAATATCTGCGGTTCCGAACAAATACATAAGCAGCTTCTTGGGGAGAAAGGGACGTGTACAAAATTTCAAATCGATTTCTCAAAAACTAAGGAATTAGTTTACGTATATAAAGACTCGACTCGTAATGCTGATAATTTATATACAACTCGGGCGTTTCCTTATGGGTGTTACAATCTGTCGTCTTGGCCAACTTCCTTAATATAACTAATAGCACTTTGAGGAATCATTTTAAGCCTATTCTGCACTCTAAAAAAATGTGTATACATCTCGCATCATTTTCTTTAATATTCCACTCTAGAATTTTGAAAAATTCGATTTTTTTCATATATTTAAAGTTTAGACCCTTAAACCCTTAATTTTAATAGCTACAGTTACTTTAGTGACGCAGTACCTAGCCCGGTAGGTAGGTAGACTCACTATTTTAAACGCGTTTTTCTCGAAATTACTTTTTTCCAAACGGTATCGGCATTATCTCATAATCTATACAACCGATTTACTTGAAATTTTGTGTGAACCTTCTTTTATATCCGTTATGCTTTATCTTTATATAACCCTTAATCCTTTGTTTTTAATATTTTAAAAAGATACCGGAATTTCAAAAAAAAAAATCGTAAAAAGTACGTAAAAATATTTTTGGTTTTTTTTTAAATAAAATTCAAAAAACTGCCCAAAATGTGATTTCGAGCGTAGAATACCCCCTTAAAATACGAAAAACCTAGATGAAAAATACTTACATATTATATGTTCTAACGAAAACTTCCTTTCAACAAAAATTCAACCAATAACACCAAGCACCTAAAAATATGCAATAGTTTTTATAGCACTGCATCACATTTCCCCAATATGATTAATAACGATAAATCAAATTCTTTTGCCAAAATTCTATCATGAATTGCTCGAGAACTTCAAATAAAATGTTTAACAAAAATTTAGAAAAAAAAACTTGAAAATTCAGAAAAATTTTGAAAAATTTTAAAAATATATAACATACGCATA